AAAGAGTGTATTTCGGTCTACAATTCAAGGATTTCATCGCTAAAAGTTTCGCTCAAAATTCTGGTCTACAAAAGTGTGGGCGAGAAGAGAGAGAGAGAGAGAGAGAGAACGACTCAATCATCGTGTGTTTATCCGAAGCGAAGCGCTTCCAGAATATGATATAATTTATATTTAGAGGAGTTTTTTGGGCTCACATTTGTTGCTAATTGTTTCCAATTTAAGCACACTTTAGGGCACAGAATGTGAATACGTTTTCGCTTTCTATTCCCGAATTTTAAATTTTCTCCAAAAAACTCATTTATTTAAATATATTTATTTTTGTTACCACTTATTCCAGAATTACATTTTTTGCCTTAATATTCATGTAATGTTATAATAATAATAATAATGAACACATAATTTACACCAATGTTTACGTCAAAATCAAAGTCATTAAAAAAATTAATTAATAAATAATAAGAATAAACTTAAAACAAATTAGAAAACTATAATTTCTATGTTTGATAATAAATATACACATTTCTAATTGGTTTTGGAGAGCATCAGCTCTTCGTTGGCGATCTTCAAGAGGTCGTTAAAGTTGACAGTGATGTCAGCCCTCCAGAAGCGCCGGCATTTGCCCCAAACGTCGGCCGGAAAGCGAGGACTCGGTATTCCCTGCAGAATGCGAGCGATCACTCGGGCGGACGTCAGTGTCTGAGTGCCGTGAATGGCCAACAGGTCCCTCACGTTTCTTCGCGCCTGTTCTAAGCCGTGCACATGAGTCCCATTGATGAGCTGTCTAAACGTTTCGTCAGTCAATTTGTTAATTTCGGAGTCATTGCACTCGTCGTTAAAGTAATTGTTTAACGTATGTTTGAGTTCAAGACTTTTAGTTTGATTGATACGATTTGTGCAATGAGTTTGTGAGTACTTTTTGAAAGTCATGTAAACGTGTCGTAATTTCGACACTTCCAGCGACTCTTGGATTTGCGTGAAATCATAGAGAAATTCCAGGCACTCGTTGAGCTGTTCTTCGGTTAAGTCGCCGACAGATCTCAGATAAAACGATAGGTCAGAGAACATAATCCTAACATTTGTCCGCTTTTTGCGACCGTTGGGCGCGTTCTCCCACTCGAGTTGCCGTAACTCAGACCTCAACGCACTGATGGGTCGGCCCAGCATTGAACACACCTCTACCAAATCAAACTTCAATTTACTGGGAATCTCTTGACTCGATTGGCTCTTCTGGTACAGCGTTAGAGCGATGCCCACAATTGGACACTCTTTGGCGATCGCTTTCATCTGATCGGATCCGTCGCCGTAACACAGGATAGTACACATCGAGTTGATTGGCGACAGGAGTTTCACCTTATCTTTGCAAAAGTCGAGCTCTAAATATGTAATTAATGTAGAAATTGTCTCTTCTTTCAAATCCATTTCCAAAACAGTCGACTGAATGGGAAATGCGATCTCATGTCCGGTGCAGACATTGTCCGCTAATTTGGCGGTCGAGTCGTCGTCCGCTTCCAACTCCATAATAGACCGACACTTACACCCTTTGAATATCTTCTCGATTAGTTTGCGGAGACATTTCCTGTCAGTGCTGTTCGCATATATATGTCGCTGTAATTCAAACAAATCGCTTCCATCGGAGTCCAGGAACAGATGACAGTGAGCTTCGAATCCATCCCTTCCCGCGCGACCGATCTCTTGCATATAGTTCTCGAAACTCTTCGGCAAATTATAATGAATTATACCCCGAATGTCAGCCTTATTGATACCCATTCCGAAGGCAATGGTGGCCACTATCACCCGCAGATCGCCTCTTATAAACCGTTTCTGGACCCGATTGCGCTCTTCGGCGGTCATCCCGGCGTGATATGCCTGTGCGTCCCATACGATCACACTTTTGCCCGTTTTCTTATTTGTTTGTCGGATCTCTTGAAAGCTAACCCTTATAAGTGACGCCAATCTCTCTGTCTGTTCCCTTCGAGTGCAGTAAATGATAATGGATTTCAAACCATTAAATCGATTACTTTTGAGTAAATCAATTAAAGCCAACTCTTTATTGGAGTCTTTGGAAACCGTGAGAACCAGATTCTCGGGCACTAAAGTGGTGCCAATGATGTCGTTTTGGGGGTCGAGTCCCAGAATCCGTGCGATCGTAAGCGCAGTCTTCTTAGTGGCGGTCGCAGTCAGCGCCAGAAATGTCCGTATTTTGAGTTTATCTCTTAAAACACGATATAATTGCAGATAAGAGGGACGGAAATTGTTGGACCACTCGGACAGACAGTGCGCCTCATCGATGCACACGAAGCCAATCGGTGGCAATGAATTCAAATTAACACAAGTATTGCCACCCGTTATGGCCTCCGGAGAGAGGAGAAGCACTTGGGATTCACCGGTCAGTAAAGAGTCAAACGCCGTCTGCCGTTGCGTTGGACTCATTCCGCTGTGAATGCAGACGGCTTTCAAACATTTAGGAACTGATAGCAACTGATCCTCCATTAAGGAGATCAGCGGCGATATGACTAAAGTAATTGACTTCTTGTGCTTCCAATTGAGATACGCTGGCAATTGATAGCACAGGGATTTGCCCGAACCCGTCGATGCAATCAATAGACATGACTTCCCACTCAATATACGATTGACAGTCAACTCTTGGTTCGATCGGAACTCTTTGTGTCCCATAAGTATCAGCGCTTCGCTCATTAAAGCCGTAATCTCTTCGCGTGTATCGCTTGTAATCAACGGCTCAGTCGGAATGGTTTGCTGTATGTCCTCAACGGCTTTACTGACACCCATTCCTTTGAGTTCGTCTTCGAAGAGCTCCGAATCGACGGTTTCTTCGGTGACACAGTCTTTGGCCCAATGGCCAGAAGCGCCGCATTTGTAGCAATTGTTGCGATTGTTTTGAACGCTTTGTTTCCATTTGTTTCGTTTGTATTTTCTTATATTAAACTTCTTGTATCCGCGCGAAAACACTTTCTTTTTAATATTAAGTCTCTTATAATTGGTTTCAGGTTTTTTAGCTCTCCTTTTCTTCGGTTTCTCACTCGCGGACGACTCCTTCGCCGACTTCTGGTCACTCTTCTCGCCATTGCATTCATTCCCATCACTGGTCTTAACGGTGCGCTTCTTGACGGCTGTCATCTTCATGTGGGTCTCATTCTTCTGGAACGGATCGTCGACTGTAGGAATGATGTGTTTGTATGCATTTGAAGTCTTTAATCTATTATCCCTATCATTAGAAGTAAAAAACTTCTTCTTCTTCTTTGATTCAGCGCTCGATTCGTGATTGTCTTCGATCGGATCCACTGAAGAGGACGATCGGTCGACGCGTTCGCCCTCCGAATCCAAATCGGCGTAAATGCGTCTCTTTGTTGGGATCTCCGGTGACTTGTCGTTACTCTCGTCCTCGAAGTCAAACACATCTGACTTTCGTTTGATTCGCGGATTTCTCGCAACGATTTGAATGTCATTTAAATGTAAAGAATCGCTGGATTGGGATTCAGACGGCGGGTCAACACTTGAGCCCAGAGTTTGTCCACTTTTGGCCGATTTGTCAAAACAATGATTGCTGTCGTAATTGCCGTCGATTTCAATGCTATTAATAATATTATTAATTAAGTTATTGTCGACTAATGGCTGGCAGAAGGCGTTGGACTCGTCTCTCGACTGTCGGTTCGGCTCAGTATTGAATTCATTAGAAAGTGATCTTAAGATGGATTCGTCGATACTTTTGGCTCTCATGAGCACTGAATTCAGTTTCGGTTCATTTGGCGCCGAAGTGTTGGTCTCAGCGGCCGATTGAAGGGCCGGCTGTCCGTCGGTCTTGTGATTATCGATGGATTGTTGTCTTTGTTTCAGAAGTCTCTTCTTGAATGAAAACGAGTGGCCTTTCGGTTGGTCTCCAGGAGTGGTGTCTTTCATGTATTTGTCAAACATCTTCTTCGACAGCGAATCCAAGACAGTGTTTTGAGCGCCAATGGATTGGCGACCGGCGGCGGTGGCCGACGGCTTATTCAGACTTCGGCTCCAGATCTCACTCGCGTTGGACTTCTTCATACACTTCCAGTACATCCTGTAGTCGTTCTTCACGTGTGGGTCGGCGTCGATGTCCTGTTTGGATGGCTTCCGTCCGGAGCTGTCGACGAACTCCTTCTCCCATCGCTTGATCCTAACCTTGAGAGCCGACAATTGTCTGGCATTTGAGTCACTCATCGCTTCCGACCATTCATTCACTCACTCTTTAGATGCCATTCATTATCAACAAAACATCTGTCAATCCCTTCACACAAATCCCGCCAAACACTACACACTATTCACTATAGATTTCGCAGGATTTTCATAGTGTTATATAACTATCACGTGACGTACGTGGCCTTCAATACAGCAATATGATTGGCTGTGAGATTAGGTGTGACATGTATACATGTCTCACAGCCAATCAT